TTTCTGGCGCTCTCCCCGCGGCACACCCAGCAATCCAATGGACGGTCCACCTAACGTCCTGCGAGGTTTATTTTTTCGAAACACCACATCTGGGCTTCCGAGGCCTACAATCCCATCATGTCTAAATCTGGACGATCTAAAAAAAAATAAGTAAATAAATAAATCTGGACGATCGAATTGAAACCAAGAGCAAGTGGACAATAGCAGCTGTGATCATTCCTCATTCCTCTTTTTTTTTTTTTTTTTACTTTCGTCATGTCCTTTAGAGATCTGTTAGACTCAGCATAAAACAATATAAGTTGGGTTATGAGATAAAATGTAAGAGTCCAACCCGGAGAACCCCCGCCCCGTGACAGATGCTTACGCAGAAGCAGCATGGCGTAGTGCAGGTGTCCTCGTTACATGAGAAAATTATTTGCCGACACAGTGTAATAGGAATGGGTCTGGATTTACTCTTGGACAAACAGGTCATTTTTTTTTTCACTGAGCCGCCAAAAAGAAAAAACCTATAATCAGATTGATATGAGTTTATTATTCAAAACCAGGAACCTGAGGGGCTCAGGCCATCAAGCATCCAACCCTTGATTTCATCTCAGATCGTGATCCCAAGGTCTTGAGATCAAGCCCCATGTGGGGCTCGTGCAGAGCCAGCTTGTCCTCCTCCTTCCCCTTCACCCCCCGCCCCCCCACTCTCTGTCTCTCTCTCTCAAATAAGTAAATAAAATCTTTCCTTTTTTTAAAGAAGACTATTAGTTCTACTCTCTAATCACAGCCAGAAAAAAAAAGAAAAAGAAAAAAAAAAAAAAAAACGAAAACGGTTTCAGTTCAACTATTCCAAAACCAAGGCCTTTATTTTTGGCCAACATCTTACCGGGTCCATAATTGATGGCCTTATTAACCAAGTATCCTCAAACTCCCTGCTGCCCAGGATGCTCCCTTCCGGTGCAGAAGACACAGGATTTAAATCCAGAGGATAGGGCGGCCCGGGGGGCCCAGCGGTTTGGCACCGCCTCCAGCCCAGGGTGTGACCCTGGGGTCCTGGGATCGAGTCCCGTGTCAGGCTCCCTGCATGGAGCCTGCTTCTCCCTCTGCCTGGGTCTCTGCCTCTCTCTCTGTCTCTCATGAATGAATGAATAATAATAAAAAAAATCCAGAGGATATCTCTGGGTCAAGATGCCTATCGGAGCACACGTGTTTACCTCCCGAAACTCTTCGGTCCCCCTGTCACCTAGCGGGATGGAGAGTAAGCAGGATAGGTCTTCGGAAATAAAGAAGGCCTTTTCCCTGAAAATCTGAGTTGTAACATGAGTGAATTGTTTATTCTAGTATCAGAATTCTTTAAAAATCGGTCACACATGCATTGGTTGTAGGAAAACACTTGGTTTAAGCAGAGTATTGTTCTCCTCAACTCTAGGCCGTGAAGCAGCTGGGAAGAGACGGAGTGAAAGTCTTTGGAAGGAAATAAGCCCTGAATGTGGAACATCCATGAAAGAGAAACTTGTTAAAATTCTACGAAAAGAAGCTTTGGAAAAGACAAAAGAATTGCTAAGAGAGTCACAAAGGCAACCGCTTGAAAGAAACAAATTCTACTAGAATCTCCACTACGGCTTTTATGGTTACGGAGGTAAGGCAGTGAGCTTCTATGGCTCTTATTTTCTTCTCCATCAGGAAAACTGGAAGGATAACATCCCCATGTCCACTTAACAAAATATCAGGAAAATAACCAAGGTGACTATTTAGGAACCTTGCTCGAGATCTGTCAATAATAAGTAAAAAACAGACTTAAGGTCTGATAGAGGCATCAGAGGATTCCTCTGGAGCTTTCTTCAGTTGGGCACAGGGGAGCATTTTTAGGAGAGATTTCAGTGAAGGTAATTCTGGCCTTGGTTCCCAGCCGTCAGCGTTGATGGGTTAGAGGCCGGATGGGAAGACTGCCGCCTAGAACCACAGCTGGGTTCAATAGGCTATCGTGTGCGGACAACTGAGACTTTGACTCAGGCCTGGGTTCAAATTCAGGTTCTACCATAGGCAGTTACCTTTTCTTTTCCATTTCGTCATATTTTTTTTGTATTTTTTTTTATCGGAGCTCAGTTTGCCAGCATAGAGCATATCACCCTGGGCTCATCCCGTCCAGTGCCCCCGCAGGGTCCGTCACCCAGTCACCCCGTCCCCCCACCCACCTCCCCTTCCACTACCCCGTGTTCGTTTCCCAGAGTGAGGAGTCTCTTATGCTCTGTCTCCCTCACTGATGTCTCCCACTCAGGTTCCCTCCTTCCCCCTATAATCCCTTTCACTATTTCTTATATTCTCCGTATGAGTGAGACCATACGATGATTGTCCTTCTCCGACTGACTTCACTCAGTGTCATACCCTCCAGGTCCCTCCACATGGTGGGTGTTCGTCATGGCTGCCCCCACTCACCCCACAGCTACCGACGCAGCTTTCCACTGACTTTCACAGAAGCAATGCTCCCACGAGCGTCAGGGAGGATGCGGTGGCCGGGCCAGGCCAGGCCAGGTGGCCACGGGATCAGGGTGGGGGGCAGATGGGCCTGTCCCTGTCCCCACTGGCAGGTGCCAGGCCGGCCATGCAGGGGGGGCAGGGGGCCCAGGAGAGGCCAACAGACAGGCAACAGAAGCCCCAGGGGACCAGCAGGATGGGGTCCCCAGGAGGAGGGGGTCTGGGGCCACCGGCTTCCTGTGTCCCAAGCCCCCCTGTGCCCCGGGTCCCCCCCCCACCTTCTGCACCTGCAGGGCATGCAGGGCCCCCCAGGGAGGAGCCCCCTGTGCCCTGGGTCGCTGCCCCCCCGCCCCCCCCCCCGTCTCTGCACCTGCTGGGCACCCACGGTCTCCGGGGGGAGGAGCCACCCCCAGGCCCCTGCCTCTTCCCTGTCACTTGCTTTTCCCACTTTTAAAAGTCAACGGGGGGGGGGGTGGCTCCCAGGTGCGGGCTCGGGTCCCCCAAAAGCCCAGGGTCCCTCCGGCCGTCTCCCCCCCTCTGCCAGAGGCCCCGGCTCCACCAGGATGGGGGCGACAGCCTGGCCTGCAGGTGGACACCCACCCGGAGCCCCAGGATGGGGGGGCACCCTGGCCTGGGGGTGGACACCCACCTGGAACCCCAGGATGGGGGGGATGCCTGGCCTGAGGGTGGACAGCCGCCCGGAGCCTGGGGCCCGGCGCCATCGCTTCCTCCTCCACGCACTGGCCGCTGAGCCCCGGGGACGGAGGACCCCTGCCCTCGGGCCAGAGGAGCTGAGTGTCGCTGAAGGGAGTGAAGGGGTGCCGTGCTCTCCGCCGCCCCTTGCTCCTCAGCGTCCGCCACGGTCGTTTGCATGACGCCCGCAACACGCAGGCCTGAGCCTTGCTTCTGTTCACACAGTCCAGGGGCGGACACGGAAAACCCGAGCTCGGCCACCAGGAGGCTCCGCTGCCTCACGTCCTGGATCAGACGCGCGCCACCAGGGAGTTCCCCTAGACCAAGGGCTGCACTCCGGGCGCGCCCCCAACCACGTTGCCTCCCCCAGCACGGTCCTCCCGGTGCACGCTCCCTGCCTCCCAGCTCAGGAGCCCGGGAGGACCTGCAGCCTGAGGCTCCGCCGCCCCCATGTCCGGCACCCGCGGTGCGCCTCCCCCGAGCTCCTCCCTGTGCTCCTCCTGGGTGCGCCTCCTTGTGCTCCTCCCCGGTGCGCCTTCCTCGTGCTCCTCCTGGGTGCTCCTCCCCGGGGCTCCTCCCTGGTGCTCCTCCCCGGTGTTCCTCCCCGCACACCCCCGTGCCCCTCTCCGTGCTCCTCCTCGTGCTCCCCCCGGGGCTCCTCCCCACGCTCACCTCCACTGGTGTGTCCGGCCTCCTCGGCGTCCATGTGTCCGGGCGAGGCGGGGAGGGGTCCCTAACGTCCCGGGGCGGGAGCCTCGCAGGGCGTCGCAGCCGCAGCCCATCCAAGGCGCTTCGCGGGCGTCGGGCGTCGGGAGGCATTTCCCGCCTCGGGAGCCGGCCGGGCGGCCGCGAGGGGAGACAGTTTGCTTAGGGGCCTCGTGTCTGGAGGAACAAACTTGAAAAACGTCCTTGAGTGTTTGTGGATAGAGAAGCATGAAACAGACGTGCGCTCGGCGCAGGCTCGAGGGGAGGGCAGGGCCCCTGGGGCGCGGGGGCGGGGAGCCGCGGGGTCAGGAGGGCGCGGGGGGGGGGCCCGCGGGGTCAGGAGGGCGTGGGGGGGAGCCCGCGGCGTCTGGAGGGCTCAGGGTGGGGGGGCCCGCGGGGTCAGGAGGGCGGGGGCTTGGCGCGGGGGCTCCCGTCCCCGAACTCCTGGGTTGGGTTTCCTGCCTTGAGGCAGCAGCACCCGGGACAAGGGGGCGACGGGCGGGGGGTGGAGGGGGCGCGGAGCGCCCTGGGCGGCGGGCCTGGGGCAGGGCGGGGAGCGCGGCGGGGGCGGGGCCCGGGCCCCGCGGACACCCAGACCTCCAAGTGCCGCCGCCCCAGGGGCCGCCCCGCAGCTCCGCATCCCCGCACGGCTCCGCATCGCCCCCCGCCCGGCTCTGGACCCCCGCCCGCCGCAGCTCCGCACCTCCCCTACCCCGGCTTCGGTGCCCGCCACTGCCCGGCTCCGCACACCGCGCCCCCCCCCCCCCCGCTCCGGTGCCTCCCACAACCCTCTCCGCTCCGGTGCACCCCGCTCCCGCTGCTCCGCCCGGTGCACCCCGCCCCCCCCGCCCCGCTCCCTCCCCCCCCTCCCCCTTGCTCCTCTCTCTCACCCCCCTCCCGCTCGGCTCCCCCTGCTCTGGTGCACCAGGCTGCCCTGCTCCGCTCCCTCCCTCCCCCCGCCCCGCTCCCTCACCCGGCTCTCCTGCTCCGCTCCCTCACCCTGCTCCTCCTCCCCCATCCTCCCCCCCCCCCCCCCCCCCGCCTCCCGACCCGGCCGCGCAGCCGCCGGGCCGTGGCTGCTGGAGGCGCCGCCCGCAGGTGGGCGGCCGCGCGTGTCCGTGGCCCCCCGTCCCCCCCGGGCGGCGGACCCCGGACCCCGGGGCCCAGCCGCCCCGCCAGGCCCCCGAGCCCGCTGCCGGAGCCCCACGGGAAGCACCGGCTCTGAGCCCCCCGGAGCCCGCGGACTCAGGTAACAGGTGCGCCCGCGAACCCATCGCGCGGGGCTCGGGCGCGCCCCCGGAGCTGGGGGTCCCCGGGGCCGGAGAGCTCCGCGAGGCCCGCGGGCGGGGGGCACCCGGGACTCGACGAGCGAAGCAGGACAATAGGACTGAACCCGGGGCGGTCCCCGCATGTCTTAGGGCCGCGTGCCCAGGGGGTCCCCGGGCGAGGCGGTGGCTACGGCCTCGGGGAGGGGCTGGCGCAGGAGGACCCGGGGCACCCCGGCGGGCAGCAGCTGGGCGCGCCGTCCCCCGGGCCGGGCCCTTCCGCGCCCCCGAGGCCGCCGCCGCGCGGGGTGGGGACGACCTGGAGCAGCCCCGGGACCTGGAAGACGCGCATCCCGGCTTCTCGGCTCCTCCTGCCGCCAGACATCGCGGCCAGGACCGCCCGGGAGGCCGCTTCCCAACCCCACGCCGACCTCCGGTCGCCTTAGCATCCCCCACCCCCCCCCCAGCGGCCCTGCAGGGACTGAGCTCAGCACCCGGAGGGGCCCCGCCCTCCTGCCCCACCGAGGCCGACCCCGGACCCGCTCGTCCTCGGGCTCCCTCCGCCTCCCCGCGGCCTCCAACTAGTGAAATGACACGCAGAGTTGTCCGGCAGGAGGCTCCGAAACTTTGCTCCGTGTGAGGAGAGACAGTGACCCAAGAATAGTTAAGAAACGAGGAGTCTAAGGTGGTAGAGACTTAGGGCTTCCGTCCTCAGCCCCAGATGGAACTCAGTGATCCAGTCCCATCTGAGCAGGCAGAGCAGGCAGTTCCCATCCCCAAATAAAATCATCTAGGCCTAACTGCCTTCTAGGAGACACACCCCGGTTGGCTACAAACCTCAGCGCCCCCAGCCCCCCCCCCCCCACATGGCTACCAAGGTAGGCTTTACTCATCCTTTAATGATACAGTCAGAAATTTCTTGAACGTGAACATGTTTTCCTCTTCTGTTACTTTACGCCCCCCTCCAGCTTCCACCTTGCTGCTCTGTAGGGTTGCGTCTTAATTGTGGCTCTCTCGTACCAGCTGTACCTTCCCTTTTTTTAAATTTTTTTTTTTATTTACTTATGATAGTCGCAGAGAGAGAGAGAGGCAGAGACACAGGCAGAGGGAGAAGCAGGCTCCATGCACCGGTAGCCCGATGTGGGACTCGATCCCGAGTCTCCAGGATCGCGCCCCGGGCCAAAGACAGGCGCCAAACCGCTGCGCCACCCAGGGATCCCTGTACCTTCTCTTTTTATGTCCCCTGCGCGTTTGGTGAGTTTGTTCAGCAGACATTCAAGTTATTGATGATATAAGAAACGGATCCTTCTGCCATGGGAGCTTCTCTGGGCGAGTGGCACGGTGGAAAGTGCTCCTGAACTGTTGGAGACTGGTTTTGGAGCTTGGGGGTGATGCTCAGGAGCTTTGTGAGCTTGAGAAACTTATTTCCCAGATTAATAAAATAAGGGTAGGAACTTCTCCCTTTCGGGGTGCTTGTTAAAATTCAAAGTAATGTACCCAGGGAACCCAGTGCAGCCCTGGTTGGGGACGTACCTGGCCTTCGGGATGTGCTGCTGAGACAAACCAGTGCGCTGGCCTCCGTATTTATCAAACTATTCCAGCCTATAGGTCAGTCTTCTTCGTAAGACATTATGAGAAAAATGTTAATCAAATGTTTTGCTAAAAATAAACATCTTGAGTATCCCTAACCTATCACAAAAGTAAATGATGTTAGTTTAAAAATGACTAATTCTTAGTGAATTTGTAAGTATCTGAAATAGGAAGAGCCTTTACTTGTAGACTTAATTTATTGCTTATAAATTAAAAGTGAAATGAAGGATGTGTTAGGGAGGTGACTTTTTCCCCTAATCTTCTAGGTTTTTGGCTGATAAATTGATATAAGACAGATTGACAAATAAAAAATAAAAATAAACAGATTGACAGGAGAAAAACAAATTTAGTTATATCTGTACAAGAGGATGAGCACTGGGTGTTATACTGTATGTTGGCAAATTGAATTTATTTATTTTTTATATTTATTTATTTATTTATTTATTTATTTATTTATTTATTTATTTATTTATTTTTTCATTCATTCAGAGAGAGAAAGAGAGAGACAGAGACACAGGCAGAGGGAGAAGCAGGCTCCATGCAGGGAGCCCAACGTGGGACTCCATCCCGGGTCTCCAGGATCACACCCCGGGCTGTAGGCGGCGCTAAACCACTGCGCCACTGGGGCTGCCCAGCAAATTGAATTTAAATTTAAAAAAGTTTAAAAAATATCTGTACAGGAGCCACATAAGAGTACGACACCCAGTAATAAGTGGGGCAGGTGAGGCTATGTGCCATCCTGAGCTAAGGGATAGTATGGGGTCCGAGGTTAAAGGAGAGGTGGGTAATTGCCAGGTATTTGGCAATCAGATGTTTGATCTGTCCTATAGATAGAGTTATAGATATATGGAAGGGAACTTTTATCTGAATTACCCTTTTCTAAACCAGGCCCCTATCTCAATTCTTTTAAGTAGTTAAAGGAGAGATCAAAGTTTTCCTTGAATCCGCTGCGTCTTGATTGCCCTCAGCTCACAATTGTCTACAAGCCACAGTGGCCTAATTCAGTGTCGTGTGTTCTGCTCCCCTTCAGGTGTTTCACGAGGGACTTATGGTAACAAAAACTAAGGAAGCTGGGGAGGCGCTGGACCCGGGGAGTGACAGAGCCCTGTGACCTGGGGAATGAAGGCCCGGCCTAGACAGCTTCTAATTCACAACAGCTTAAGCACTGCACTGGCCAAACAGAACTCCAACCCAGCACTACCATGAGTGGCCTTTGCTTTCACGTGCCCCGAAAGAAATAGAGCTCTGTGTAGTTCGCAGCTTTATTCCCAACATCTAACACACTTTGAAGCACATGGATATTTAATAAATAGCTACAATTTATTTAGCATTTATTAAGCACCTTGATGTAAGAACTGTTCTGCACAAAATAACAAAAGGAGAAATGGCTACTGCTTTTGAGGAATATTTAATTAATCTCACTTGGGGAGACAGCACTTAGAAATTAGACCAAGTGGACATCACCTCAAGAAGAGAATTCTAAGGCTTGGAGGAATTCCAGGAGTCTGTGCACAGGAGATGGGGCTTCCCGAGCCATGAAGATAGTATGGATTTGGCTCAACAGGGAGGAGGGAGGGAGTGCTGGGGGAAGATGAGGGAGAGGCGGTGGGTTTTCACAAAAGGAAAGCTGGAAAGAGGAGAATGAACGTGGCCGTGTCAGTAAGGAGAGCAACTTGATGGGAGAGGAAATATCCTTGGATTAGTGAGAAATTGAATCCAGTAGGTAAAAAGAGGGCTTTAAAAATGTATAAATTAGATGTACCTCTGCCCCTGCCTCACCCCCCAGCCCCCACCCTGAAATAGTGTATCATCAGCTACAGAAAATAGGAACTCTACAATGACTCCTCAGGACTCATGATATATATACCATGAAAGAATGATCAGACTTTAAATAGCAAAACTTTCTGAATTCATGATCTTTTGACCTCGAGTCCAAGTGGATTAGTGTTTTCCCATGTCTCCACATAAGAATAATAGTTCTTGTAAGTATTCAGAAGTATGCATACTGCTATCTGGAATTTAATTCAGTGCATAGCACTTAACACAATTTATTATTTATGCCTCCTACTTGGTCTAAAATACTTGGTTCCACTATATAACATAGACTGATCTTGAATTTGAAGGGAAGGAGAAAAACTCTTCCTCTACCCTTTTAGGTTCATTCGCTGGGTCTGCAAATCAAACGGTTAATAGATTCACAGGAGAGAACAAAAACATTTAATTACCCATGTGCCCAAGGAAGTCGCAAAGAAATGTGCTTCAGGGAAACAGAGTTGGAGACTTATGTATCATCTTAAGAAAGGGTGATAAGTTGTGGGAAAGAGGCTAGGCCTTGGGGCTTGGGGCTCTTGAGGATAGACGTAAGTAATGGGAAAGTGACTAGGAAATGTATGATAAATAAGGATTGTTAAGCAGATAAACATTGTCTAATTATCTCTGGAGTAGCTCTCCTCTTTGTATAGGAGATGGAGACATCTTTACAAAGGGAAATTTATGCCCCGCTTTTTTACAAAAAGGGGGTGCAAAAACTAATTGCCTTTGGCTCAAAACAATCCTTATGCCACATTTTGGGATGGCAAACTGATCTCCTTCAAATTCCTCAATGGCATTTGAGGTAAATAAAATTTAATGACTCAGAAAAAATGTCACTTCAGATAATTTGATCCATTAAAGTGACTAAGATTTAGGTTTTTTGGGCCAACCTTGACTAGAAACTACTTATTAAAGTTCAGGCTTGAGAAAGGCAAAGTCTGTGCCCTCCGTGAATTCATAGGCATGTGAGGGACAAATATACCATCCATCCCAGTGGAAGCAGTGCATTCACATTGTAATAGAATTACAAGGATTGACATTTTTAGGATTATTTTGGAGTATATGGCTTCTACTTTTGAGATTGGGGAATCTCATATGTTTCTTGTGGGTTGGACTTTTGTGAATGGGATTAGGAGAACTGTTCAGAACCTGGAAGTATGAGTTTTCCAAAACAATCAGCTCAAATGCCAGTTTCTCCTTCCTTTTCAATTTTTCTTATTTCCTTTTACCTTATTATCAATTCAGTAATGATCTTATATTAATATAGTAGCAGAATAGCTACTGCATTTCTCTAATGCTTTCTGTTTTTCCTGACCACAATCGAAGGAGGAATTTGGGGCAGGAATTATTACCCTAGTTTAGAGACTAGAAAGCAGAGAAGCAAAGAAAAATGCCTGTGGTCACATTGCTAATTAAATTCCTCTACTCTTATCCAGTTAAAAGCCATTTGAAGAAATTTTATGAAAAAAATCATTGTTTTTTTTTCCCCCTGACTTTTCTGAGCTTTAAATACAGATTTGCTAAACATAGCTAATGTATAGCATCTACATATTTCTCTTCACCGGCCCAGTGAAGTTGAAAG